AACCCCAAGTCCCAAAACCCCTAGGTCCAATCTTGAGAGAGGGTTTAGGGTTTAGGGTTACGGTTTTTGTTTTTTGTCCCGGGTTTCGGGTTTGGGTTTAGGCTTTAGGGGATTTAGGTTAGCTTACCATAATTTAGGGTTCCTGTAAGGCTTTTAAAAAGGCTCCTTTCAGGGCTTTGGGTTCAGGGTCGAATCCCGGGGGAGACTGAGGAGGAAACTCCAGGACGGACTCTGCCAGGGTCGAGATGAAGAGGAAGCGGTGTTTCACCTCGGTTCTACTTAAAAGGGCTCTATGAGGGTTCTACGAGAGGGCTTTTGGGGTTACTTAAAGGATCAAGGGCTAGAGTTAGGGTAAGTGTAGCTCTTACTCAAAAGGAGCGTGGGACTTAGCAACTGGGGTTCCTTAAAGGGTTCCTTAAAAGGGATCTATAAGGGTTCTATAAGAGGGGTCTTAGGGTTACTTACTCAAAGGATCATGGGAGTTAGCAACTAGGGGTATAATATTAGTGTAACTGTAATTATAACTATAGCCCCAATTCTGGCACTTATAACCTTACTTACTAAGTCCCATGAATCTCCAAGTAGGGCTTGGTGGAGGCTGTCCCGGCCTAAACCTCCAAGGGCCCAAAGGACCCACGAATTCGGTACTTGGGCTTCCGAATGCTTTACTGCAAGTACGTTAGCATTGCGGGCAAAATGTTGCATCCGTCAATTGGACCCTTTGGGAATCTGTAGGGAAGAGGAGTTTGGCTACGGCTATGGCTTCGGGACTAAGGCTCAAGTGCGAAGCTCTACACTTACAGGGCACAGGGACTCGAAGACGATCGATAAGGACATAGGTTTCGGACCTAGTTACACCCTCTAACTACCCCGGACTGCGTTCGTGTCAAGTCACTCCATTCAACTAAGCTCCCACAACCCGGTACGTAGAACGTAATATGCCTGATTCTGTTATGAAAACTTACAGGGTCTTCTGTGACAGAAACACGGGGTAGGCACAAGAAGGGCTCCTGTCAGGGGACATTAGGGAGTGCTGGTCGGGAGAGTTGATCCTGCCTTGGTCGATAATCTTGCATTAGGATTAGCAAGCCACTGCAATCCCGTGAACCCGAGTCCCAAGAAAACAGACCTTGTCTATTAGATCCCAACAGACAAGGGACCTAAAACCTTATAAGCTTACAGGCTTATAGGCTTTATTTAGAAGAAACTCCGAATAAACCATACCACAGGAACAGAAAGAGCACATAAACCCCTATACAAGGAACCGAACCAAACCCTAAACCCTGAACCGATTCTCGGGGGCCCTGAGGGCTCCCGGCTCCCATCATCAAAGAGAGCATCGACAAGTAAGTGACCTTGTGGCACGGTTTTGTCGTTAGGGTATTGGGGAACTGGTGTGTGTGTGTGTGTGTGTGTGTGTATGTGTGTGTATGTGTGTGTGTGTGTGTGTGTGTGTGTGTGTGTGTGTGTGTGTGTGTCACGGTTTGGTTTTTAGGTAGGGGAGGCGACCAACCACTGAGGGATCCATATAAAACTTAACCAGGGTACAACTACTACCCAAATGATGGGCTCTGTTTTGAAGCATCTTAGGACAGTGTTGAGTTCATGGTAGAGTCTGAGGTTTGAGATGGTTTTTATTATTTGTATTATGGGCTTGGAGGTTGTTGCAGGTGGCTGGCTTAGGTCTCTGAAAGCTTGTTCCCCGCTCCCGAAAGGATCGACCTTCTAGCTATGTTGCGCATAGAACTGTACTACTACTTTTACTTCTTGGAGATCAAGTAGGGGTCGATGCTATCAACATTGCTACAGGTACAAATCCTGCTGCCTCTCATGTTCTTAGTCAAGTATGGCGTGGGCGCAGCTGAAGCCTCCAATGCTCGACAGAAAGTCTCCTCAGCCAAAGTTGAGAGGCCGGGGCATGTAGGCCGGCAAGCGGCAACAACCTGAGTACAGTCACTTTGCCGCAGGAGGAAGCGGCTGGGCAGATAGCGCTCCGCTTCTTTGATACGGGTGCTGATATGCATGCACATTTCATGCAGATCGACCCACAAATCGCAGTGTGATCATGTGTCATCAGTAAGTGGTCACTCACAGCCATGTGCAATCGCAAACGAACAGAGAGCGACAGACAGACAACTTACCTGGAACAACTGTATAATTAATTAATGACAATCATAAGGGTATGACCTGTGCATGTATGTAGCCACGAGCTCGTCCCCATCATCTGCTGAATACCACAGGTAGGCTACCGTTTTACTAGTTTCGCTGCAAATTTTAACCAGGAGAACCCACCTCCCAAAACAAAATCCAGCCATAGTATCGGAGTTCCTGTCGAATGCTACTACATGGGGGCACTTACTAACTATATCCCAAAGCTACTGTGTAAGGCAGGCCGAACCTCCCAAATTCACCTTCGCATCTTGAATGCTATAACCAAAGCTGCTGAGGAAAGGATGCACTGACATGGAGCGCAAGAGGTGGCAAAACAGCCAGAACGGCAAGTTTATTTCTCTGCCATAAGAGTCCAAGAGCATGGGGCAAGCAGTCTTCTGCTGCTTCGTCCTGGCTGACATGTGGGATCCGCTTGCAAGATCATACTACTGGGCATAGGCTTGGTAATGGACCGCTTCTGCACGACAACCTGTGCATACCTCCACAATCAAGTCTCGGAACACAAATTTGCAAGTCTGGCATCGGGGATCTGGGCCTAGGAGGTCGTGGCTAGCCGCGGCTGCCATCTGTCCGCAAGAGCTGGATGTACTAGCCCCAAATCTCGGAATGAGCCTCCAGGAATGCACGCGGAACCCTCCTCTTCAGCATGTCGTCCTGTACGAACTCGTACCCGAGCAAGCTCATGCAGTTCAACAAGCGTACAGAATTCTGGTTGATCCAGCCGCTAGCCAGACCACCCGAATACGTCAAACAAAAGAGTTCCCATGATTTGCCCTTTTGCTGAAGAAGCTCCATCACCTCTTTGGGGGTCTTCACCTCGAAGCCAGCCTCTGTCAGAACAACAATGCTTGATCTCAACTCCGTGTTCCCATTCTCCAGGCGGACAAAGTGGTAGACGAAGTCGCTCTCAATGTGCTTCCGCATCTCCTCTGATCGCGAATCTGCCTGCGACACGATGGCGTGCGCGAGCCGGGCTCTGCTCATGGCTCCAGAAGCTGTCGGGAACGGTGTCGGAACGACGCTGGAAGTCTCACTTCGACATCGTTGGAGCCGAAAGCCACAGAGGCACAACGCCACTACCAAAGCAAAGCGAGAGAGAGAGAGAGAGATACATGTATATATATATATATATATATATGCTATATGTATGTATGTGTGTGTATATATATATATAGGGAGAGTCCTTGACGCTCTTGTCTGCCTAGCAATTTTAGAAGGGTCCCAGAACATCGAACGAACAACAACATCTCTCGGCAGATCGAGGCTGACAGCGATGAACAAGCTGAACCTTTCCGAGCATTTTGCTATAGTCATGTGTATCAGTGTGTGCATGAGTAAATAAATGAATAAACAAAATTAAATATAAATATAAATAAAATATATATATATATATATATATATATATATATATATACGCGTATAAATAAAATACGTGTGTATGTATATGTGTGTATATATATATATATATATGTAGACAGACTGATCCAGTGCATATGTTTGTAGATAGAGATATAGGGACATGTGATTGCATGTTGCCGGCTGAGAGGCTATTCTGCTAATTGACACTAGCTCATGCATCTTGGATAGGTGCACATGCAGCCATGTGCAATCGAACGGGAACAGAGGGAGGGAGGGCGGGAGAGAGAGAGACAGACAGAGAGAGAGAGAGAGCCAATAAGTGTGTGATGCAGTGTTGCTACATACATACATGCATGCATGCTTCATGCCTGCATGCAATCATGCATACGTACATACATACGTACGTACATACATTCATACATACGAACAGAGCAATATCGCGGCTGTTCTCAGGTTGTGTTTGTGTCTGTCGGGACGTGTTGATATTGTCGCGTGGGGCTCCTCTACACAATGATGTCGGGCAGGAATCTTGCGCTGCGTCCGAAAAGTGGATACAGGTTTGGTCCCTGCACGGGGGTTTTATCTGAACAGTCTGGGGTCTTGGGTGAAGACGGATAAGCATTTTACGGGTCTGGGGTGTAGCGGTCCTCGCGGTTCATGGGAGTGGCAGATCTGCCTCATGCAGGCGAGGAGATAATCCTAAATCGACACTCACAATGCTCCTTTCGCTGTAATGTTTAGGGCTTGCGGTTTAATGCTGTGTGCAGATCTTGGGTGCCGGGGCTGAGTGGTTCACACCATGGTTGAGATTTGAGATTGCGATGTTAATCCTACTGCGTGGAGCCCGCAAGATCCTGCAAGCGAGCCCTGGCCAACTAGCCACTTGCACGCGAAAGCCTATGCATCCCTACGAGGTTGAGGACCGAAATCCCATCTCCTACCCTAACGACCTCACCTGTGCACACCGCGGCGTTGAATTATACGAGGCGTCTTGAAGTTGGGTGTTGTCATGCGGAGGTCCCTGCAGCTTGAGATCTGCAACTCCCATGTGATTTAGAAGCAATCTCTTCTATTCTCTGCATTGCACCTTCAAGAGCCCTACATCGTAGCCAGGTATACAATGAGAGCAGAACAAGAGGTAACAAGCCGGTAGGCTTATAGGGCTATTGGCTTATAAGCCAAAGGGACTATAGGGTTTCAGAAGAACAAGCGCTTTTCTTGCCGGAGAGCCTCGGCGCAGTTATGCTTGCACGGTCCAAGCTGAGCTATGGGACACCGGGCTTCTCCGGAATCCTTTACGAAAGTTTCTGAAGGGAAACGGCCCGGACCTGTCCAGTACATGGCCGGGAACCGGCAGCACTTTTAGGGTTTAGGGCTTAAGGGTTTAGGGTATGTTTGCCGATTCTGCGCCCAAATTGTCCACAGAACACGGTTGAGCAGCGGCAGCAATCCATCCGCTGGAGTCGGACTCAGGATAACGCAGTCGGATTGGCCTGCAAGAAGGCGCGCGGAACTCGAATTCTCATCAGAATGCTTTCAGCAGAATGAAAATCAAGAGGGTTGCTGAAGCATTCATAGCCATTGAAGATCATGAAGTTGAGAATCTGTGCAAATGAGTAAAAGATGTGGGGTGTCCCTACCTGACGAAGTTCGCCACATAGCTGATGCTTGTCTCTTACTTCGAATTGCGCGCCCTTCTGAACGATCATGTTCGACTGCGCGATAACCCAGGCGCCCTGATCGCCACATTTTGTTACCTCGACGTAATAGTCAGCGAATTCAGTTGCAATGTGCTTCTGCATCTCCTCTGCTCGTGAATCTGCCTGCGACACAATCGCATGTGCCAGGCTCGCAGCGCTCATTGCCCAGGGAGCTCTGCAGACAAGTATCAGATCACTTCCTCTTATCTGTCAACGCTGCGGCTGCGACACGTCTGAAGCCGAAACCAGCGATTGTTCATTGCCAAGTTTGGGGAACTACAGGTTAACCTTTTATTGGTTATATAGGGATTGTATAGGGACTATACTACCCCAAAAAGGTTAAAGGTTACCTACCTATAGTCTCCATTGTAGTTGCTTTTTGGGGTTACCTTATAGGATCCCAATTGTATATTTGGTTAAACCAAAAAAAGGAACTACAATGGAGACTATAGGTACTCTACTACTAGGTTCATGCGGGACCATACAGGCCCCTTGAAATCCTGGATCTGGACTTGCGTGGTTCTGCCACGAATATATGGGAGTTTCCGAAAATAGGGGGGCCCCAATATATATATATATATATATATATATATATATATATATATAATACATACACATACATACATACATATATATATATATATATATATATGTAGACGTATATGTATATGTATATGTATATATATATATATATATAATACCCCGAATAGTAGGATCCTCATTAATGAACCCCCCAAGTATGATACCCCTAATTTTCGGAAACTGGCATATGTTGTTTCCAGCCCTTTTTTTGTGTTTGGGGAGTTGGTTGATTGCGGGCTGGGGGCTTGGACTTCTTCAAGCAGGCTGACAGAATCACCCTGAGAAACAGGAGGCTCAGGATTGTAACCGTTCATGACACTCAGCATTTCAGACATCAAAGGCAGTGCTACGTGCTGGCAAAGGACTTCGGCTAACTTGGGGACACTGGGAATCAACATCGCGGCCGTGGAACGTAAGTCCCCACACCCTGAACTCCCTCTAACAAACCTTAAATACCCACTGCTTATGACCATAAGGGCTCGCTCGATACCATAAACGCTCAACCTTAAACCCAGAACCCTAAACTGTTTAAACCCTAAACCCTATACCCTAAACCTTAAACCCCCGAACCCTAAACTTTAAACCCCTAAACCCTACTAAGCCGTATCGGGCGCGTGGCAGTCCAACCATCAAGACCTGCCAGCCTGGCCTGGATTCACCGGAAAGCCACCGTTGCTCTCGGATTCATGGGAAAGTAGGGTATTCTGTATGTTACATTGCATGCTCATTTTTTGCTTCATTATGCTGTAGGATATTAGACTGTGATTACAATATATTATTAATATTACATTGCATTTTATTGATAGAGTTTCGAGAATGCTGTGGAGTTTAAGGCTAAGGGTTGGCAGAAGAATCACACGAAGGCCTAGGTGTGCTTCTGTTTTCCCTACGGGTCCATGTATCCAACTAGTATATACTCTGGGCCCAATATACCTATATAGGGAATACTTTAAGGCCAAAGTATATACCACTTCGATATATGGACCCTAAGGGTTTGGGGCTTCATTATTCTGCATACTTTTGGGGGCCAGGTCATGCTTATTTGGGCTAGAGGTTTGGAGGACTTGAGCCTCCAACATCGACCTGACCTAATGCGAAAATACACCCGACCTTGCACAGGAGACCATGTATTCTTTAGAAGCTGCCCGCACCCTGTAATAGTGACTATAAGGATTATATTAATAGTATATATTAGGGCCCTATTATATTCCTATTATGCCACTATTACAGGGTGGGGGCAGCTTCTAATGTATTCGGAATGAAACCGAGCTCCAAGCAATGCGTCTTTGTTCTCGTCACGCAAGATCTTGTAGAACTCGACCTTTGACTCTGTGCGTCCCACTTCTGTGTTTCCTCAATTGCAAACTTTGTGTGCGGTGTGTCTGTGTCTGTGGGGAGCGTGGCAGTGGTGCGTGTCGCGCATGGATTACCTTTTGTTGGGGAGCGCGGTTGGCAGCTTTTCATTTCGGGGTAGTGTAGCGACCTAAATAATGACCTATACTATTCTGAAGGTTTCTTATTAAGATTATAGTATAATGGGCCCCAAAACCCTATTCTAATTATTGAGGCCCCTATATTAACTCTGGGTTTCAGGCCCTGGTTTGTGGACATCAGGGCAAAGGGCAAATGGCTGAAGGTGTTCTACTAGAGCCTCAACTACGACCAGCAAAGCACTAGCCTAGAGCCCCAAAACAGCTATACAGCTATGCCTAGTGATCACATCAGGGTCCTCATATTATAAAGGCCGTGCAACAATAAGCAATTACGGACTCAATTATGCAGTCTTCCTGCCCCACATTTCCCCACAAAACCGACACGCACCCGGTTCTAGTAATACTACTTGGGGTTTCGTGGGACTTAGTAAGTATGGTTATAAGTACCTTAATTGGGGTTATAAGTAGTTTTCGTATAGTTACCCAAATCGTAACCCTAGTTACTAAGTCCCATGATCCTTTAAGTAGGGGGAGTAGAGGCTGGGGGTTGTGGCTTTGTTCAGGGATCGGTTGTGGGATGTTGTGGCGAGTTAGTTTCATGGCGGCTGTCTCCTGCAGTACTGCAGGAGACGACTGTAAGTCCTTGCTTCCTTATCCCAGATATGCTGCTTTCAGAAACCCTAAGGCCCTAAGGTTCCATGTACCCAAATAGTATGTACTTTGGCCTTAAAGTACCCCTGATATGGTACATTGGCCCCAAAGTCTATACTGTTCTGGGTACATGGACCCTTAGGGAAACGCTGTTCACTTTGAAGCCAAAACGCCCGAAGCCTCAGCCGCATGTGTCCGCAGGTCTAAGCCTAGGCCTTCGGGGGTTGCGCTGGTTCGGCTCGAGACTTCAGATGTCAAAGAGATTGGGGTCAGAACTCTAGGATTTTTTTTTTTTTTAAAGTGCAGTGGCCTTTCGCTCGCACGATGGTCCATCCAGGATTTGGATGTGCACTAGTCAGAAAAACCCCAAAGCTTAGAGCTCAGTACAGGTGCCATACGACAAACTTCACGGAGGCTGACTGACAAAAGTAGTGCCTTCATCTCGGTCGCCAGTCACAGCGAGTCCCGGGCATGATGTAGAGCTAGCAGAGCAAGTAGAGGGCGGGCTCGTCGCAAGACTTGACGTCGACCACGAAGCAGGCAGCGAGGTGGTAGTCCACGTGGATGGCGTAGTGCAAGTCGAACTCGTAGTCGAGGTTGTCGAGGCAGAGGCGGTTCGCACAGCATCCAGTACCATTTGCTCCTCAGATCCAGCCGGCGAGGTTGAAGGCATTGTGGGATCCACAGGGTGTTCATCACTGCCACCAGTCCCATCCGGAACTTCATGTGTCGACGAGTGGGAGGATGAACTGGAGGAAGCTGTTCCATCATCCATCCCTGTCCTATTTGCAGCTGTTTCCACGTCCCGACCATCACCAGGTTCAAGCCAGATGCCATGAAGGTTACCGGCAAGGGCGGACTCAACCGAGCCTTCGTAGTTCACAGGTCGAGGTGGTGGAGGACCTCTAGGTGCTTCGGACGAGCCTGCTTCGGAGTGCATCGAGAAGAGTTCGCCAGCTGAGTTCAAGGCGAAGTCACTTGTTTGTTCCTCCGAAGAGGACCTGACAACGCGGCCAAAACCCTCCCTTGCCGAGGTCGTTGGAGTGATGCTCATTTCCTCCCTAGGCGTAGAGTGGCCAACCTCCGTGGGGACGATACTTTCGGGGCTCGGCTCCTCTGGTCCAGGAAGTCCTTCTCCAGGTCCCACTGCATTATCCGCGGGCATGAGGCCTACATCTAGGTGTCGACCAAGCGTCTCTTCAAGAATGACTCGCTGGTTTCTCGCCCACTGGAAGAGATTCCACCTCATCATCTCTTGACGTGGCACGCGTCGGAGAGGAAGATAGCCACGTGGAAGAAGTCGGCGCTGAAGAATACCCATGGCCCTCTCCATAGCCTCCAAACCATCCGTGGCTCTGTCAAGAAAACATCCCAGGGCCCAACGTCCTTCGGCTCCACGTCCTTCTTGTTGCTGACGATCCATGGTTTCCAACATCGTCTCCATGCGGGCGATCGCCCCCGCAGGCACCCCACTTTCTTGCAATAGGGCCCTCTCGGAGTTTGTCAGCTGCATCATGTTCACCTCGTCATCCTCAAGCTCACTTGGTTCTAGTACACGTACCACTGGAAAAAGGCCAAAGTTTGGTGGGACCTCATGGGCCACCAAGGAGCTCGATGAGGTCGTCGTTGAGGTAGAGGACGAGGACTCCCCTGGCCATGGCCACTCGCTCACAACCTTCATTTCATCTTCTTCTTGGTTTGATTGCTGTTCATTATTCCACTCCCACTGATGAGGCCACGAAGTCCACCACGAGGATGAAGAGGAACTCCATGAAGAAGACGAAGTAGGGTGATGCCATGAGGGAGTCCACGATGCACTGTCTCCCCATTCCCACCAAGTCCCATCTTGTTCGTCCCAAGTAGTGGTAGGTGGCGTCACAGAAGGAGCCATCCAGGAGGAAGTGTCGCCCCATTCCCACCACTTATCATCACCATTGTTCTCAACAGACAGTGTGGTCTCCGCACTGCAGTCCTCACCAAGGTTGTTCACATTGTCTGTTGATTCACAGTCTGCATCTCGACTCGTGTCCAGAAGTGGGGCGGAGGAGGAGAGGGATGACGTCGCCTGCGTAGAGCCCGCCATCGTTCCATGTATATCACGTTGGTGTTTCTGGGCAATATAATTCTCAAGCCAGCTGGGCTTCCATTCTCCTCGTAGATATCGTTCTACTCTCTCACGTCTACGAAGAGTGCGACGGGGTCCGGAGCCTCCTTGGTGTGCACGTTGTTCAGCTTCAGTGCGAGGGCGAGCGTGCCAGCAGCCTTGCTTCCAGAACCCTGTTGAGCTTGAGGTCGCTTCACTGCTGTCTGTCTCGACCGGGTCTTCACTTTCTTCTCCAGCAGTTGTGGACTCTCCTGCCTCATCATTGCTGTTGCACTTGACGAGAAACTCCTTGCCATAGAAGGTGACAGCACGAAGCACGGGCTCATTATCCACAGTGGCCAAACCTGTGACGGTGAAGGGGGCTGGGTCCTCCTCGTCAGCTTGAGTATCTTCAGGCACCGTGGGGAGGACGTTTGTAGGAGGGTGGCCATCATCAGCCTGTTGTTCAGGAGCTAGTCGAGTACGGTGAATGAGGCTCCCATCCAGGTTGTGCCAACGATCTCTTCCTGGTCGTTTGATGCCCCACCTGGTCACCACACCATCTGCATCCTCAGCCTCGGCAGTCTCATCGGTAACAAAGTATTTAGGCTTCGGCTTAAGCAGCGAAGGTGAACAAGTCGAGGAGGATGACGCCGATGAAGAAGAACACCCCTGTGCCTCGCCACCATCGGTCTCAGCTTCATTCCTGGTCGACGGGGTCAAGGTCGAGGCATTTAATGGTGTGCTCGGGGTACACAAAGAGGAGGAGGAGGACGTCGCCCCAGTGCCAGCCGGAACACAACCAAGTGCACGTCGTCCTTCATCACCGTGACGTCGAAGAACTCGTGTGTCCATCACCTTTGCCAACCAGTCATCTTGGCTGACCAGCACATTCGACTGAGCAAAAGGTACAGGTAGTTCATGGGGTGCAGGACAGGCAGGAGAAGACTCCACCAAGTCACCCCCTGGTCCACCTTCCTGTTGGTCGCCCTCATTTTCTTCCAGCTGGACTCCAAGAGAGATATTTTCATCCCAGGCCACACTCATGTAGGCGACGTGCTGCGCGTGCGTGATCGCAAGGTTGTTCGAGGACGAGCTCGGCGGAGCACACGAGGAGGAAGCCGAAGAAGAGCAACCACCAAAGTCTGAAGTGCTCCAGGATGGCCAAGAATTCTCCCCAGTCTGTTGTTGCCAGTGGTCTTCCCATCCATCATCCTGAGCAGAACGACTTTCAGGAGGAGGACCAGCAAGACAAAGAGCCACAGCCGCCGCGCGAAGCAGCCACCACAGCACAGCCATGATGGACTCGAACAGGGAGGGCGAGGGCGTTGAGGGTTTCCAGGTCACCTTGAGCCCACAGCGCGGAAGGGATAGAGATTGACAGAGGCACTTGCCAGAACCATCAGCTCACATGGCAGTCATGAAGTACGGCACTGATGCTCGAGGGATCTCGCAATTCTCAAGAAAAGAACTCATTCAGCTCAACACATCGATAGGTAGTTCATGTAGGCAAGTCAAAGCAGACTCACCCAAGGGAGGGAGTGTACAAGGAGAACTGCAACACCAAGCAGCTCTGTCCCTTTCGAACTCAGCCTCCAAGAAAAGGCTTCACCACAAAGAGGAACAGAGAAGCTTTAGTAGCGAAGAGCAAGCTGTCTCCCAGAACTCCAACGAATATCCCAAGACAGAATGTAGTGTTCACGTGCAGCAGACCAATGGTGACGATTAAGGGCAGTGATGTGCCAGTCATTTCCCAAGCAATCACTAAGCTGACGTTCAGGACATGATGCATAAAATCTACCAGGATGTCGGAGGCCAACACTTGCTGAAAGATTTTGTTGCTCACGCCACCAGGCAGTCGATCTCCACTTGAGAGCACGAAGAGGCAGAGAGTCAGCGGCCGTTCCATCAGGGAGATGTTCTCTATGTCTGGCCCAATGACCGTGCAGGCTATGTTGCAAACCTAGGATCTTCTGTGACCAACGGAGATGTCCCTGATTATGAAGCCACACTCTGCAGAACCGGATGGTACGACTATTCCAGTCGACCCAAGATTCGCCAGTGTGCCTCTTCAGGCCAAAGGCTGAACGTAGGGTGTGCAACTGTAGCAAATTCGCCCCTCTAAGATCTTCCTGCGACCAATGGACTGCCCCGCCTGTCCAAGAGAACTGACTTTCGACAAACACCTTCATCATATAGATCTTCTTACTCCAGGGTCCTTTGGCTGTCAGGATGTCCTTGTGTGAGGCTGCTGCAGCACGAGTTCGACTGAGCAATTCTTGAGCTTGTTGCGAGGGTGACGCGAAGAACGAGAAGTCAACCCCTAGCACCTTGATGGACTCAGTCGTGGCGGCAACAGCAAACTCATCCTCGCCAATCTTGATGTGTCGGCTCCCCTTATAGGCTGGACTCGCGATAATCTTCGTCTTATTCGTGGCAAGCTTGAGACCAGCTCTCTGAAGGCACCGATCAATGATTCTGACACGTCTCCCCAAGGTGCAAAGATCATGGTCAAGGACGAAGATATCATCTTGGTAGAACATCGTCTCAATGTCCAGTCCGGGTTGACTTTCGCCAAGGGCACTCCATCGGGGACTCTCCGTCACTTCAGAGAGGAGTGCATCAACGACTAACCCAAACACCTCCGCACTCTCAGGCGCACCTTGTTTAATCCCAGTATTAGGGCGGATCGAGATAATATCACCCCCTGGGACTCTCCCCTCCAACGTGTGACACCGAAGTTGCGAAAGAAGATATTTGAGTTCACATCCAACATCTTGATCACCCAGTCGCTGTGTCAGGAGCGATGCTACTCTGCGGCGGTCAATTCGATCAAATGCACCTGAGACGTCCAGTTTGCACATCACAGCGGGTAACTTCCATTCCTTGATGACATCCCGAACACGAGAGGTCGCCCCTATGAGATCAGCGGCTTGTCTCCCCCGACCACAGGCAGAAATGCGGGAGCCACGGCGCATCAGAGGAAGAGCTCGAGAACAAACCAGGCGATTGACAAGCTTGTTGAAAGCGGAGCTAACGGCTATGGGACGTAAATCACCCGGCTTTGTTGGAACATCGACCTTCGCAAGCAGGGCAAGGAAGCTTTTCTCCCAGATGCCAGGGATCTGCTGGGTGCTCACAATGTGGTTGATAAGGTCGAGGAGCTGAGAACTCAACTGATCGTGACTCGCGATCACTCTAAGGAGATGTACCCCAATGTAGTCAGGACCGACTGCACTTTTGCATCTCATCCCTTGAAGTTCAGTCCTGACATCGATGATCTCAAAGGGCACAAAAGACTCCCCGGTTGTAATCTTCTGGATGAGGGTCGACAGCTCTTCATCCCAGCCATCACGATCAGGATCAATCATCTTGTTGCGAAGGTGGCTTTGAACTTCTCCCGAAAGAGCAGCAGCTGATTTATGTTCCAGCATGTCGCCCCACCATCCTCTCCGGCGCTTTTTGTCAGCCTGAAGTTGGCGAAAATCACCCCAGTCTCCCGCGAGGACACGTTGTAGGCGAAGTCGTTTCCAGTCTTTCTGTGCCTTTGCCCTCATCCTGTGGACCTTTTTCCAGTCGGCAGGTTGATTGGAGGACCGAGCTTCAACGATGACCTGTTTAATCTCATCATCATCACGATAGCAGCTGGCCTTGCGTGGGCGACTGTGCTCAAGAGCAAGACGAGTTAGATCAGAATCATCGACGATGCAGTCATCAGGAAGGTCTCCCACCACCCAGCGAGCACGAGAATCATTCCCCCAGCGGTTGGAAGCAGCACGCTTACGAAGCCAAATATCCGCAGAGATGAAAGCATGGTCAGACCCTACACAGTGCCTTCTTTCAGCATCAATCGCAAGATCACTGAGTCCAATCTGCCTGCAAAGAAGGAGATCAATCTGTCTGCCCGTGCGTTCAGCGTCTCGAGGGAAATGAGTAGGCGCAAAACGATGAGGCCACTTAGGAGCACAAGGTTTGCATCCCAGCTGCAGTGCTTCATGGAGAAGAACGTTGAGATTTGAGGAGCACTGTCCCGGAGCAACGACACCACTGTCATCGATGATCCAATTCGGAGTTTCATTAGCATCAATGCCACAGAGGAGGGGATACTGACGCCAGGCACGGGGGAGAGCACCAAAGAATTCGTGGATTGCAGCCTGGTACACAGCATGGGTCACCCCCGTGTGCGCATGGAGAGAGCCACAGACCACGCGTCCCAGGTTCTTAACCCTAGCAAGAACCCAAAACCCTCTCTTCGTTGCAATCTTTTTGATGACACAGTCGAACTTGTCTAAAGCAAATCCAATGGCCACCCCTCTCCACTGTCCAGCATCCTGATGGGTGACCCAATGAAAGTGTTCGGTCTCTTGTTGATCCCATCCTGGCTTGTCACGAGCAACTTCTTGCACAAACAATAGTTCACTGTCAGCAGCTGCTATATCGAGAAGACCAACTGTTTGTCCTCCGAGATTCCAGCTGCCGATCTTGCCCCATCTGTGTCTTTCACACTGATGAGACGATCGAGGCAATTTCTCCCATCTCTTAGAGCTCGAGGATGACGCCCCAATGTCAAGGTTCGAATTCTGAGTGAAACTATCCACTTCATCCTGTCACAGCTCGCGTTCAAAGGCGGCCTTCGCCTCATCTAGCGAGCATCCAGCAACGGCAGAGACTGCATTGAGGGACACCCAGCCGCCGCTCATAAGAATGTGTTCACCAAGTTGTGGTGCTCTATGGGTTGCACTCGCTAGCTTATGTTCGCCACACCACACCGTTCCTAAAGCCCAGTCACAGTCATACGCAGTGAATTGCGTATTGAGGAGATGCTTAACGCCTCCTTCAGGCGTCTTTGCATCTAGGGCAAGGGCACATGTCACCCTCCTGACCATAGACACGAGGCTGGACTTCGCTCTGGCCGTCTTTGTTTTCACGAAGCTCGCCCACATGGGTTTCTGATCCTCCCCGGTTTCTTTCGTGCTGGGCAACATATGCTTGGTTGCTGCAATCTTCTTGATAACATCCCACATGCGTTCACGAACTTGGTTGAAAGTCTCCCCCTCTCTCTCCTTGAAACGCAGCATGCCAACTGAGCGACGAGGGCCGTAGATCGTCAGCTTTTCTGAGTCAAGAAGAGGTTTAAGCATTTCACCCGAGAAAAGAACTGCACTTTCTTGTTCAATGACCGAGCGGCGAGTGTCACGTAGCCATCCTCCGACAATGAGCGTTCTCTTTTCATCTTCAGTGAGTGCATCCGGGTTCCTTTCACCAGAAGCAGCAGTAGGACCATTGTTGTCTGCATTCTCCGGCTTCAAGTCCTTTCGCTGACGAATGTATTGTGCCCACGGGTCCGTACTTGCAGCTGCTGCTCCACCAGGGGGACCAGCTGGAGGCGGCTTGGCAAGGGAAGTTTGAAGTTCACCCCATTGGACTTTCATGTTTTTGACCTCTTCGGTAAGTTCGTCAAGGTGGCGAGCCGTTTGTTCTTGAGCTTGACGATGTGAGAGGGAATCCTTTTCAAGAGCTTTCGTACGAGCCTTCATGCTACCCAGCATCTCTTTGTGCTTGTCGAGTTCAGCACCCTGTTGCTCTTGCATTCCCTCCAGAAGATCAAGACGCCCTTGAAAGTTACCCCAAGCTCTTTTCATCTCAGACACATGGCCACTCAGAAGTTCACGGAGTTCTCTTGCCGAGATGGGATCTTCTCGTACTTGTGCACGTTTACTGGGGCTGTCGAGTTCATCTTCTTCACCTTCAGGTCCACCAGGAAGGGGAATGGAACCTGGATCACGAACTCGTTTCCGAGGTTCTCGTGTGACATCCTCCAGCTGCTGCACATCCATGTTCTCTGCATCCGAGAGATCTGCGAGTTCAGTCGGAGATCCATTGCCATCTCCCTCCGTTTCTTTCATGTGAGCGTCAACATCCACCACGTCGGGCTCGTTGGCCATCTTGTCAAAGAGGAAGTTCGTGACAAAGTCCTGCAGCACCAAGTAGAGAAAACAGAGGAAGAAATGTGATCACCACAAAGTCGCCCTTTTGCAAGTAGAAGGTCCACCAACGAGAAGACGATCGCCACGAAGTCGCCCTCGGCCCTGAAGATGGACCACGAAAGATCACCCGGAAGAACTCCTGAAGCAAGGGAAAAACGACCACCCCACAAGGGTGCTGTCAGCGACGATGTTCACCCGGAGGATCGTGTAACTGGACACGTCAGCGACCGAGGGAGCACAGCGAACTTCCGGCGAATCAGGCAGAAGGGGACGATGAACTGGCCGCCCCGCGCTCACAGCAGCAGCAGCTTGCCTTTCCAACGGTGGCACCTGAAGTCAGAAGGGCAGCCCAGCAGACCTATGGCAACAGCGAGGAGAGAGAGGCCAGGGAAATGGGACAAAGTGGGAAAACGTTTCGAGCAATAACAGCTTGAGCCGTAGCATTTAGGGTTTAGAGTTTGCGGGGTTCAGGGTTTATAGGGTTAAACCCCAACTGATGTAACCTCAAGCACAAGCCCCCCACACGCCGAAGCTTTTCGTGGATTCGGTGTGTTTCAAGTCTGAGGTTCGGGAGAAACCGAGAGCACTGGGTGTCCAGCGGCGGTCCACAAGAGCCCCAACCTTGGCAAAGCACCGAGCTCGTCGGGTTTAGGGTTTAGGGAGGGTACCTTGGAATGTCACAGTCTCCGGGCTGTAGGCAGTACGTTCTCTCTGCGGCTGAATACGCATGAGGTTCAGGGCTGTGGAACGGAACTACCGGCTTTGGAATTTCATATGCGGCTTGTTCACTGTCGACTGAATCTGCTGCTACAACCTTTGGCTTTTCGAAACACAAACAATTCGAGAAACATCTCGAGGCGAGACTGTAGAGACGGCCCAGACAGGCGTCTACATAGACCCTAAGGAACCTGCCTTTTTAGGGTTCCCTAATATAACTTTTGTATATCCGTCCTTAAAAAGTAGGTTACTTGGTTTTAATGTATAGTTAAGTCTGACGGGGATTGGAGTGAGCACTACCCTCCACCGTTTCAGGTTCCTATGTTACGAAGTGCTTGCGGCTCAAAGACATCAATCGGCAGAACCTGGCGTGGTCTGACCGCACATCATTCCATGCATCGATTATAATAACTATTAGTATCAGCATCCAGCGGAAGCATCCTAGGAGTTCAAGTACGTGGGTATCAGATACCACCACGAATACCAACCTAAATTTACTTCTATCCCAAACCCAAGTTCTACTAATTGTATTGGGTTTTTCTGGGCCCTTTAGAGAGATGGCGCCAAGCTCCAGACACAATGCCACCGAGGTTGCTCAGGAAGAACCAGTTGTCTCCATGCTCCCAGAAAATCCTCGGATGTGGGTCAAGGGGGTTTGGGTTTAGGGATTTAGGGTTTAGGGTTTAGGGCCCTGTAGGCTCATACCCTACTCCTTCTTTAGGGTAGCTACTTCTCTATACAACAGATCCTAAACATAAAACTGGGTGTCCTAACAAAGGGGTAGGGTATGAGCCCCCAAGTAGAGGTTAGGCTGGAGGGCTTTAGGGGCTCAGGCTTCAGGTTTTACTAGTTACTACTTACTCAAAGTTTTATAAAGGTTGGTTTTGTGGGTACAGCGTTTACGGGTTGGGTTTTGTAAAGTTTAGGAGTTCGGTTTTTTGAGTTTAGGGGGATAGGTTTTAAGGCTTCGGGCTTAAAGGATTTAGGGTTTAGCAGTTAGGTTTCAGGGCTTAAGGGCTGCAGCTAGGACCGTCTGATGGGTGCAAGGTTGCGGTTGGTTGAAGCGCACAGTAAATCTCTTGCCCCCCTCCTACTTGTCATCGTCCTCGTCTAAGTTCTCCTCTCATCACGTCTGTACCTACGAGTTATTCCCCTCTTGCCACAACGCCGACGATGCTGAAGCGATATGTTGCGATACATATTGAAGCGGATGAGACTGAAATCGTTTGCCATGTTACAGCAAGTTTACTTTGAGGTGCTGGATTTACATAGGGTGAAAGCGTAGGACATAGATTTTCATTGAGTTGAGACGGGCTTTTGACTTGAAGTCAGACTTCCTCACGGGTTGCCTTTCAGCCCACTAGAACTACCAAGTGAACCATAACTAATGACCCCAAACCATAGCAACAGCTCATCAGTTGGCACTGTGACGCTCTACGGGTCAGGCTGACCCATTCGGGTGGGACTCCGCGGACCGAGAAGCCTAAAGCCAGACCGGAATAACCGTCTCGAACCAGTAGACTTGAATACATGAGACAACTATCAAGCATCATCAAGCGGAACCATCGAACCCAGTGAGCTGAGAATACAGATCATCCTACACTTTTAGCTTCTATTCCCTGAAAACTCAATTGCGCCTGATACTGCCAATCGGACACAACTAGGTGAACGACAGCTCAGAGCCCAGATAAGCCCAAAGCCCCTGATCGGCCTGGCGACCACTGTTGCAGAACTTGGGCCCTGTAACATCCTCTAACCAACGACAAACTCAAGCCCTATACCAGTAGAGCCCTAAGCCCTGAAGCTCAACTGAATGATCCGAATCGTCCTAAGTCACAAAGTACACCCTGCACAGTGCAGTCCGGGGAGCTTCATTGCCTGCACATCCAGGTACAAATCCAAGTAGTAGCCTGGCAGAGAAAACCAGCACTGGTTCCTGGTTGAGAGTGTGGGTACGGTCTTGGGTAGCTTTCGGGATATGTGTTTGGGGTTTGATTGGGATTTACAGTTCAGGAGTTTGCGGTTGGGGGGGTGGCGCACTGTTTTAGGGTCAGAGTAGACCAGGTGCAGCGGCATCACATCCAAAAGCAAACCCTGAAGCCTAAACCCCGAACAAGGTTCCCGATCACGAAATGTAATACAGCAACCACTCCGGCAACCCTGAACCACAAACTCTGAACTCCTGAACTATGCTTGAACAGTGCTTCCTTCGTTCCAAGCAAGCCGGCTTGACGAAGCCACATGGCCTGCAGCAAAGACTCAAGCACAAGCCCCGAAACAGCTTGAATAATCATAGGCTAGGGTGTCGGGGTTTAGGACATAGGGTTCCGGGGCTAACCCAAAGTGCTCCATCGAGCTCGCTATATGGGACTCTTGATTCTTAATGACCCTGCATGAAAGGTCTTAGGTTCCCCACTAGATTCTAGATCGGGCTCCGGGTTTCAACGCTTCAGGACTTTTGGAC